CTAGACAAAGCTATCTCAACAGGTTATGAGCCCACAAGACAACGACATGTCTTCCGAATTCAAAAGCAAGAATTATAATGTCCGAAACGAATTAAATGAATCTGGCTCGAATTGGCTAGACTGGTCAAACGACGTGATTGTTGAACTCCGTCGTCGTCAACTCAAGAAATACATCGATCACGAGAATCCACCAGCAACTAATGCTCCTGCTCCCGCCACTTCCGCATCTGCTGCACCTCCGGCCACCGGCGCCACCGCCACGCCCGCAACCGCACCTGTAGCTATCGACGAACAAGCTATGAAGGATACAGCATTCTCAATCTTATGGGCTACTACTCATACTCATCATCACCGTGGACATATTGACGCGTCGCCAAAGGCGTTTTGGGATGCTCTAAAGAATAATTTCGAGATGATCTCCAAGGCAACTGCTCCTATGACAAAGAAGAACTGGGAAGATATCAAGATCAAGGACTTTGATAGGATCATCTCTTACAATCAGGCTATTCAACGCGTGAAGGCCGAACTTGCTGCTTTGCCTGAACCTCCGGAACATTTGTACAGTGACGCAGCACTGTTATTGAAGACTTTCGATGGATTCCCCGATGGATCTGATATATTCCGTCGACTACTTGAAGGAAACAGTAACTACAATACATATGCCAAGGTCATTAGCTACTTAGTTACTTGTGAAAGTCAATCTAATACTCACGGACAAGACGTTTTTGGCCGCCCACTCAAACCCAAGGGTCCAACAACCGCTGATACTAGAACAACAGATGAAAAGGGAAAGGCCCCGCCAGCCACGTTTGCTACTGATGGCCGAGGTAGAGGTCGCGGCCGTGGTCGTGGTCCCGGTCGTGGTAAGCGAGGTCAACGTGGAAACTACCGTAGTAGAGGTCGTGGTGATTCTCAACGGGGGAGAGGTCGTGGCGGACATTCTAGAGGAAATTCTAGCTCTCCTGGTCGTAGGGATATTAGTCAAGATCTTTGCTACAAATGTGGAGTCAAAGGTCATCATAAGAATGCATGCCCTTCCCATCGTAGTAAAACCCAGGAAGATCGCTACGATGATGCTGACATGGACTATGAAGCTGCTCCTTATAATCCTCGACAGGCTGCAAGACCACCTGCCAGTAACAACTATGCAGAACAGGGTGGTGCTGACAACTATCACATTCCTGGAACTATCCCATCTATCTTCATGATCGAGGTCTATAATGAATCTATTATCGATGTTGAAATCCCTGATGTTGAAATCTACAATACTTTGCCAGTCGCTCTACACCATGCACTATTGGATTCTGGCAGTACTCACTCCATTTTCAGTGACAAAAGTCTATTTGAGAACTACCGTGAGGTCTCTGATGGTTTGGTTAAAACTATTGCCGGATATAAGTATATCTTTGTAGGTGAAGGAACCGTTACTCTACATCTTTGGTCTCCCTTACGTGATAAACCAATTATTCTACGTGTCAAGAATGCCAAATACGCGCCCAAGTCTACTCAAAACATTCTCGCCATCAAGGATATTCATAAATCTAGCTACTCCTTTCACCAGCCGGCTTCTGGTCTACCTTATATTTCCACCGACTACGACAAGGAATGGCAATTTCCTGTTAATCTGGATCATAGAGGTCTCCCCGTAATCGATATAACCAATGTAGAAATTCGGATTGAGGACAATACACCAATTAGCGCTTATGTAGATGATTCGGAACCATACCATATTTGGCACTCCAGACTGGGGCATCTGTCTCCGACTACGATGCGCTCTATGATTCACAATCAAGCCACGCGTGACCTGCCGTTAAGAATATTCCAAACACGACGATCAACACACAGCAACTGCAGCACTTGTGACATCTCAAAAATGACTAGAGCCAAGTTTGGTACCGCACCAAGAAAAGACTATCAAATCCTTGAGCGAATTGACGTTGATATTCAAGGTCCCATCTCTCCTAAATCTATGGGCTGTGGTTATGCCCTTGTGGTCATTGACTATAGAACGCGAAAGTCTGTGGTTACGCTCATGGACACTAGAAGCAAAGCTATGGCTTCAATACTCTCTAGCATTTTTCGACTTCAAGGCCCATTCCCAACAAACCGTATTCAAACAATTCGACTCGACAATGCAGCTGAATTTAAATCTCAGGATTTTCAAGATTATTGTAGTGCTAATGGTATCACACTCGAGTATTCGACACCATATGTACCACAGCAGAATGGCATCGCCGAGGCTTTCAATAAGAAGGTCTCAACTGTGGCTAGATCATTACTATTAGCATCCAATTTACCTATAGAGTGTTGGGGTCATGCTATGCTACACGCAAACACACTTATATCTGTGTGGCCAATGTCTGCTCTTAACGAACAGTCGCCAGATGAGGCTTACTACGGCTACAAACCTTCGGTTTCTCATTTCAAGGTTTTTGGCAGTGCAGTGTTTACACCAATACCTAATTCGATGAAAACCAAGTTTGAGAGAACTCGTCGACTTGCTATCTATGTGGGTGCCGATAGAACACAGAACATTCAAGTATTAGACCCTGAAACCGGCCGCTTATATACTGCACGATCCAAGGACTGTCGATTCAACGAAAGTATTTATCCTACACTACTCAAGAAACCTTCGTATTTCATAACATCCAACCAAGGAACTTTGACTTCTGCATTTACGCCAAAAAGTACTGAAGACTACGACGCTTCATTGGCAGAAGGTCATCTTCAACGTATATTGCAGCTGAAAGCATCAAACATCTATCATCCCATATCGGTCACCTACAATCCACCGACAAAAAGGACTACTTCGCAGATGGTACCCATATTACTACCAAGTCAACCATCACCTACTCCTGCTGCACCATCACAAACCACGCAGGAATCACAAGATGATGTCCTAGAGTCACCTAAGAAGAGAAGACGTTCTCAAAAAGGGACTCAAGAATCGACTGATATAGAGTCGAATCAACCACTCGGTGAGGTTGAAAAGAAGCGTGAGACTAAGAGACAGACAGCTCTGAGAGAGCGAAAAGAGTCTCAGAAGGGTACTTCGAGTACTAGTGATGCAGCAGGTAGTACTGTTGGTTTGACGTTTTTTTTTTTTTTTGAAAAGTTGAATTGAAGAAAACCGCTTAGAAACCCCTCTTTTCCCCTTGTTTTCATCTTGACTCAGCCAACCACGCCTTGTCTACCGACGACAACCCAACCTCCGTCGCTCAATGTCGAAAATCTCTGGAGTGGCATGCATGGAATCAAGCTATACAAGCCGAATTACAGTCACTACGAGGTCGACAAGTGTTTTCAGAACCGATGGAACTACCGAAAAACCAGAAAGCGATAGGATTTCGATGGGTTTTTGTGAAGAAATTCAAGGATGGAAAGGTTGTTAGATATAAGGCACGTTTAGTCGCGCAAGGATTCAATCAACGACCAGGATTTGATGTGTTTGCTACCTATTCACCGGTCTTGGACCAACCAACGTATCGTCTACTACTCGCCCTCGCTCGGACACTCGATTTTGCTATGGATAACATGGATGTCATCACCGCGTATCTTTATGGTGATCTTCACGAGACGATCTATATGAAGCTACCTGATGGAATGTCATCGCCGAAACATATTCGAAACCCGGTGGTAAAGATAACCAAATCGCTCTACGGTCTGCGTCAAAGCGGCAGACAGTGGTATAACAAACTTGCTACGGAACTCACCAGGCACGGGTACAAGACCACAACCATAGATCCTTGTGTCTTCTTCAAGAAAACGTCATTGGGGCGTGTCATTACTAGTGTTTACGTGGATGACATTAATGTATTTGGTGACACATCCGCTCAAATCGCCGCCAAACAGGAACTTAAATCCAGTTTTCAGATGACCGATCTTGGAACTTTACGATCGTGTATAGGGATTAGTGTCGAACACCTCGAATCTGGTGTTTTTATTCATCAGTCGACCTTGATTCAGAACATTCTCACCAAATTTGGCATGGACAAATGTATGAGGACTCGTCGAAACCCTCTAGAAGTGCGAAAGTTAGGGTTGGATATCTATGGGCCACGTATGAAAACAGAATTACCTTTATCCATGCATCATCCCTACTCCTCCGCCATAGGCAGTTTATCTTATCTTGCGAACACCACACGACCGGACATTTCTTTTGCTGTGAATCTGCTAGCACGACACACCCACGATCCCACGATACGTCACTGGCATGGAATCAAACATGTACTTCGATATCTGAAGTTTACGATGGACTGGGGATTACTCTACAGTAAGAAAAGGTGGGACATTGTTGGATTTGCAGATGCCGGGTATCTTTCAGATTTTGCTAGTGGCAAATCACAGTCTGGCTATGTATTTACTGTTAATGGAACCGCATTTTGCTGGAGGTCTACGAAGCAGACAATCGTCGCTACATCCACTACTCAATCTGAAATTATTGCTCTATACGAAGCCGCAAAGGAGATCACTTGGATCAGAACTTTTATGAAAGAACTCCGCCAGGGTCTAGAATTACCCATACAACAACCTCCGACTGTGATCTTTGAAGACAATTCAGCATGTATTAAGCAAATCACGTCTGGCTTTATCAAGTCTGATGCCACCAAGCATGTATCTCCCAAGTTTTATTACACCACAGAACTCATAGATCAGGGGGAGATAGAAGTTAGACCGATTAGCAGTACGGACAACTTAGCAGATCTATTCACCAAGACTTTGGCTGCTCCAAGACATCTAGAACTATGCCATAAGATCGGTTTAAGAAGTCTATGTGAACTACAAGGCAAACCAAGAAAACACGTCAGTTTCAACCTCCACACAACAAGTCATTAAATAGCAACCAGCACTCTTTTTTCCTGACGCGCAAGGTTTTTAAGGAGGCTGGATAGTCTGTAAATCTCAAAAGTGATGCTTAGATCAGGGGGAGTGTTGTGAGTGGATCTGCGCAA